CTGACCTCCTTAACCTGTTCTTTCTTTAGGAAAAAAGGGTGCTGGGAAAGTGACTGAATTGAGGACATATTGACTGTAGACAACAACATCCTTTAGAAGGATAAAGGTGAAATGAGAATGGGTTCTACTCTTTGGATTTCTAATCAGATGATAGGCTGAATAGTAGAATCAGGAATGGTCAGGCAGTTTGAAATAGAAGGAAAGGAATAAGTAGATTGTAGACAGGTTAAAAATGTGGTCCTTATGTTATATTCAGGGAAATGACGTCAAGAGAAAGATGGAATTAGGGCCCACAGCATGAGAGTGATGAGAAAGATTTGAGAATAACATTCAAGAAAAGATCAGAGGGAAAAAAACATGAATTCTTACAGATATCCTGAATGGAAGAATTATTTTTATATGATTTTTATGGTACAATCTGAAGAAATCAAGATTTGCATGTTTCTGTGGTGGAATTGTGTGTAAAACCACTGAAATAACTTCTGGGGAGAGAGGAGAAGCAGCAGGTGGTGGGTGGGGACGTGGGCAGGGGGAGACTCAGCAGGAGGGCAGGAGAGGGATGGAGGAGGGTGTCTGCACCCCCTGGGCATCAGATCCCTGGACCAAGGCCAGCTGTGCAGCACCCAGCGCTCAGACTCCGCTGACAGCTCAGCCTCTGCAGCGCGACCTTCATGTCTCGGTTCCTCAGAGAGTAGATGACGGGGTTCAAGGAAGGGGTGAGGATGGAGTAAAAGACGGATGCCAGGCGACCCTGGGTGGGGGAGTCCTGAGACGCAGACCTCAGGTAGGTGAAGCTTCCACTGCCGTAAAACAGGAGGACGGTGGTCAGGTGGGAGGAGCAGGTGGACAAGGCCTTCCAGCGGCCGTCCCCTGAGGGCATCCACAGGAGAGTGCAGAGGATGCATATGTAGGAGAGGACGGTGAGGGCGAAGGAGCTCAAGATGACACAGCTGCCCATGGCGAAGCCCACCTGGGGTGGAAGTCAGCACAGGAGAGCCCCATGAGAGCGGGGATGTCTCAGAAGAAGTGCTCCACTATGTTGGGCCCACAGAGGGCAGGGAGAAGGTGTTGATGGTGTGGAAGACTGAGTAGAGGGCCCCGCCGGGCCCCGCCCACCCAGGCCAGGACCACCAGTGCCCAGTACCGCCTGTTCTCATGATGGTCCCATAGAGCAGGGGCCTGTAGATGGCCACGCACTGGTCATAAGCCATAGCGGTGAGCAGAAAGCACTCATTGAAGCAAGCGTGAAACATGTAAAGCTGAGCCACACACTCGAGGTAGGAAATGACCCCAGGGCCCTGTAGGGTGGTAGCCAGGGATGGTGACCGAGGTGTAGCTCAGGTCCAAAAAACACAAATTCTTCAGGAAGAAGTACATGGGTGTGTGGAGGCGGCTGTCTCTAAGCACAGCTGTGATGATGGACATGTTCCCTAGGAGGCCAAAGGTGTAGACCAACAGGAAAGAGACAATGACCACTGGCCTCCATTCTAGGATGTCTGAGAAGCCCCTGAGGATGAACTGAGTCACTCTGGTCTTATTGGACATTTTTCCCCCTCTGAAGTTGTGCTCAGATGCAGTGGCCACAGATAGCTAAGAGGAGGTCAGCTGGGAACATGTCCAGGGAGGTCCGTTGTCTAGAGAGGTTCATCTTCTCTCAATGGAAAAACATCCTAGAAACAGCTTATATAAGAATCATAATCCAGGAAATTGTATTTTGATGAATCACTCTACAGCCTGTGCCCCAAGTCAACTGCTCCGATTACACTGCAGGAAAACAGTGTCTCATGGAAGAGAGGAGAGGAGGGGAGGGAGGGTAAAGCAGAGAGGAGAGGATAACAGAGGAGACAGATGTCTGACAATTTTTCCTCCCATTCGTTGTGGGGGCTTCAGGTAAGAGGTCTCATGTATTTACTTCATGCATTGACCCAGGTCATCACTTGGGGTGTTTCAACATTAACCCAATTGGTGATGCTTTAGTGAATGGAGAGATGGGTCTTTTTTAACCCCTTCCTTCCTCATGGTGCGCCTGCCCATAGATTTCCCCAGCCCTCCTAGGTTTTATAATACTTTGGAATAATACTTTGGAAAACACTAGCTATAATAATAAAAAAACTAGGAATGAAACCCTGATATGACACTGCTGTCCCACTCCTTTGTATTCATCCAAAAGAACTAAAATTGGCCTAGTATAGTGACACAGCCACATCCATCCACGTTTACAGCACAACTCCCAAGAGCCAAGATAGGGGACCAGCCCAGGAGCCTGTGAAGAGATGAATGGATCTAGAAAATGTGGACTAATATGGCTGAGTTTGCTCAGCCACCAAGAAGAATGAAATGATGTTATTTACTGGTAGGTGGATGGAGGTGGAGCAAAGGGATGGAGGTGGAGAACTTCATGCTGAGTGAAATAAGCCAGAGTAAGTAAACCAAGGGTGGAATGTTTTCTCTCTTATGTGGGTTATAACAAAATAAGGAATGGGGAAAAGAGTGGACCTCAAGAAGGAAAGAGAGTGGGAGAGGAGGAGCTGAGAAATGAGATTCACCAAACTATACTGTGCACATGTGTAAACCCCCAGGGAAGGCCGCCCTTATGTTTATCTGCACAGTGCTAATTTAAAAACAACAAATAAATAGAAAAAAAAAAGGCCTTTACAACAAGAAGGAGGTCAGAGAATAGGAAAGGGGAGGGGAAGGGGAAGTACAGGGGGCTGAAAGGTGGCAGTTTAGTTTCATGCACATACTAATATTTTGAAATGAAACCCGCTATCATGTATAACTATAATGCACCAATAAAATCATTAAAATAATTTAGTAAAAAAATCAGTGTCAAATTTCTATAAGGAAAGTCTTACATATATACTTTATTAATTTAATTTAAAACATGTAATATTTAATATAATTCACAAAATCTTATAGACTGCACTTACTACAGAATAGCATATTTAGTAAATGTGGATAAATTTTAAAACAAGGAAGAGCAAAAACATGCACCTAACAAATCTGAGGTTCAAACACGTTTTTAAACAGCTGCTTTTCTCTGCACAGATGTGTCCAGCAGTGCCATAGTGACGTCCTGGCTCCTGATCACCTGAGTGACTGACAAACCTGACTCAAGACTTGGCTCTTCCAGCCAGGCCCTATGACAAAGCTCTGACAGCTGCCCATCAGCAACATTTTCAATAGGGAATTCTTATTCACTTTGGAAGTTGGTTAAAGTTGGGAAATTTAACTTTATTCCAACATCCAATATAATTTAAATACATCCATGCAAATTATTCTCCACTGTCAGCTCCTGTGGAGGAGTCCTAGAATTGTTTCCTATCCTCAAATACATTGAGGTCAAGTTGAACAAACATATTGGAGTTAGAGGGATCTTTTTAAAACAGCTCTGCTAGGACCCAGGGAAACTGACTTTGACTGAATGCAGAAACTTAACATAAGCCCTTGTGAACAAAATCCCTGCTCCTAGGGGTCTGGTTAGCATCTGTTTCCTACTTGCTGTCTTCTCCCTCTGCGGGCCTGATCCTCCAGAGCAGGACAGGGCCTCTTTCCCTATGTGCAGTCTGTGCTCAGTGGAGAATAAAGGAGGGAGCAGCCTGAGTGCAACCTGGTGGAAGTTGCCCTTCACACACTCGGCTTTAGAGGTGGTTCCGCAGGAACTCACTCTAGCATTTCCAGCTGTGTGAGTGTGCAACCTCCTGCATAGGACAGTCAGGAACCCTGCAGTCATCATAACCCCAGGATGAAATATGCTTGTGACAGTTATTGAATACTATTGCCTGGTAGAAGCTCATCTGCTGCTCTGAGACCTTCCTTCCCCAATTTACCCAAAGTCCAGAGAAGACATTCCCTATATGCTGCAGAACTGCAGAGCCAAGGTCATGGCCCCATCCCTGATTCCCACAGCTCCTCTCAGTATTCAACATTAGTAAGAATTGAAAGAGAACAGTTGGTCCTCCTCCCAATGGTCAGTGGGTAGGTAGAACTGGACTTGGAGGACACTAAAGAGCATTGATAGAGGTGAGGATGCTGCTTGAGTTACAACTCTGGGAATCTGTTGGAGGCAGTGCTGGAATTTTCCTTAGGACAGAGACATCTGTGCAATACTTGGGAAATGGCAACTTGCTCAGAGTTCAACCACTAGAATACCTATAGTGTGGAGAAGGTACTCCAGGGTCTTCTCCTACCTGGAATTCCTGAGGCAGCTTGTCACATAATTCTCTGTCAGATGAAGGCACCTTCCTGAAACTTCTATCCAGCAAGGTATTGAAAGACTGCAGAACAAGGAGGTGAGATAAAACAAGAATATGCATCCATATAGGACAGGGAGAAAAGAAATTCTCATTGTTTGCCGAGGACACAGGTAATATATAGAATTCACACACATGCACACACAAATTGCTAAATTGATAGCACTTTTAATAAAGTTGACAAATACAAAATAAGCATTCGAAAAGTTGAAGTGTGCTGTAACTAAACAACAAACTATCATAAAAATGAAGATGAATAACCCATTTATAATGGGTACAAAGCAATATGTAGTGATAAATTCAACCAGGAGTTTAAAGAAGTTACTGAGAATTAAAAATTTTCATTGAAAGAATGAATACATTATAATATATATACAACCAAAGGTCTGCAGATTTATGAAATCACTGTATAAACTCTCCTTTTGCACAGAGAATAAACCATTTTAAAAATCATGTGCAAACACACACACACACACAAAGAAAGGAAATAATGAGCTAAAAACTACAAAGCAGGGCAAGCGTAAGATCTTATTTCTAACCCTACCACAGAGCTGTACATAACTAAAATAGCACAAGACTTAGAAAATCTGGGTCATTTGGACAGTGGACCAGAACCGAGAGCCAGAAATGAATCTACTCATGAAGAGGGAATTGGTTTTAAAAAAGTATGTCTCTACTGCCATGGAAACAGGGTAGTGATTCCAATAAAGAAGGCTGGGCTAGTCTCTCTGGATTTACAGAGAAAGCATGGCCGTGGCCACAGACAGCCTGGTGAAGGTGGACCTGAACTTGACAGCAGCCCTGGGGAAGCCTCGCCCCGGTCTCTCCCGCAGGAACCTCAGTGAGTGATGGAGTCCCAGGGCCTCACTGGCCTCTCTGGACACTACTCCAGGGTGGGAAGCTGTTCCTTGAGAGGGCTGTCAGGGGAGAGGCACTGTGGCCACATCAGGGACAGCCAGGTGTGTCCCTCAGCCACTGGGGGGAACAGGGTGACAGTCACAGTAGAGGCAGCATCTCCCTCTGGACCCATGCCAAGCTCAACCTTCGGGTCAGGGCAAGACATAACCCCCACCCTCCTCCTGGTGCTCACTCCTCTCCACGGCCCTGTTGGCAACGCAGGCAGCAGGCAGCTCAGGGCTCCGCACCCCCAGAAGTGAGGGAAACCGGAGCCTCTGCCCACCACCAGTAAGTTCCCCAGAGCCTGCAAGAGCTTCGGACTGCTCCCACCTCCTGCAGGACAAGGCCTTCAGTGAGTTACGATTTTCCCTTATACTGTGGCTGACTGTAATTTTTATAAGACTTTCATAGGTCTGGAGAAAATTCTTATCCAAATATCCTAATAAGAAATGTTTCTTGGGTGATTAAACATCAATTTTAAGATCTCTAAACCTAGTCTCCTTAATACAGGTGACAGGGCATAAAACAATATTTTCTATGCTAATTTCTGAAACATGAACTCAGGATTTATTTCAAAGACTCCACTTTATTGTAGAATTTTGGCTTAAGGATATAGCAATTTTCAAAGCAAATATCAACAATCTCATCATGCAAAACAGGATACTAACAACAGGTAATCAATGAATAGATTATTGAAAATATAAGGGAAAGTTTAATTCACTTATGAGGAAGAGAGTAAGACATGATAGAAATTAATGGTGAACTTAATAAGATTTGTTTAAATCACCAGTATGTGACCAACTAAAAAGAACCGAATAACAGTGACCTTAAGTGGTACAGTATCATTCATGAACAGTTATTATTGTTGGTTTTGTGACAGATTAGGATGCTGTGAATCAGCATTTAAATTAAAGCCTGGCAGAAATTTCTGCCTCTGTTGCCCTCTTATTTATGTAGAAATATAAGTCTCAAAATGCAAGCTGTAGCCGGCCCTCCAAAGAAAAAAAGAAAGAAACAAAAATCACAGGAAAATAAAAGAACACGAAACATGAGGAGAAAAGGTGAAGAAACAAAGCCAAGGGCAGGATCTGGGTTAAGATGTTTAATTAGTCACCAAGGTGACCAAATGGACTCAGAAAGTTAATGGAGGAGGAAAGCACATTCACACAGAGAAGACAGAAACACACATATTCTTACAGAAACTGACACAGTGGAAGAATATTAGGAATCAAAGTCCATTGACTAGGAAATAAGTGTGCAAAGCACCTGGGACTAGCCAGGGCACGTGAGTAGTGGACAGTGCACATCCTCACACTTCAGCAGGACCATTGTCTGGAGGCCCAGGCTGCTTGGCCCTGCTCCTGCGACAGTGTCTATGTGCTGCTGCATTCCGTTAGGACATTCAGACTTTATGAAGAGAAACTCAGAAAACATGATAAGACACCATGGAAAATGTGACCAATGAACTGGAATTTTATAGGAAAACTTTATTGTTAAAGCCAACATTGAATCCCCTTTCCTGCCAAGATATTTCTCTCTCTCTCTCTCTCTCTCTCTCTCTCTCTCTCTCTCTCTCTCTCTCTCTCACACACACACACACACACACACACACACATACACACATTAAATAAGAACAAATATCAAGCCTGATCTTTCCACCCCACTTGCCCTTTTTATTGCAGAACATTTCATCAAGAATGAACAGAACGTCAGGGCTCACAGGCTTCCTTCTCCTGGGTTTCCCTGGCCCGTGCAGCCTTCAGCTCCTACAAGCTGGGGCTCTCGCTGCAGCCTACCTGGCTGCCCTGGTGGGGAATGGCCTCACCATCACCATCACCTCCCTGGACCCGGGCCTCCACACACCCATGTACTTCTTCCTGAGGAATCTGTCCCTCTCTGATATCTGCCTCATTTCTGCTGTGGTGCCCCAAGCTGTCACCAACTCTGTCACCCACTGCCACTCCATCTCTTTCCTCGGCTGTGTGGCCCAGGTCTTCCTGGTGCCTTTCTCTGCATTTGCAGAGCTGAGTCTCCTCACAGTGATGTCCATGGACCGCTATGCTGCCATCTGCCGTCCCCTGCACTATGAAGCCATCATGAGCAGGGACACCTGTGTGCAGATGGCCACTCTGTCCTGGCTCAGCAGTGGCTTTGTATGTGCCATACACACTGTGAGCACCTTTTCCTTTTCTTATTGTGGAAACCGTCAAATTCAGCAGTTCTTCTGTGACATTCCGCAGCTGTTGGCTATTTCTTGCTCCCATAACATGACTGCAGAAGTCGTGCTCATCTTCATAAGTGCCATCCTGGACACTGGCTGCTTTGCCTGCATCGTTGTCTCCTACGTCTTCATCTTTTCCACCGTCAGGCGGATCCCGTCCACAGCAGGGAGGGCCAAAGCCTACTCCACCTGCCTCCCCCACCTGGCAGTGGTAGTGCTTCTCCTCTCCACTCCCTTCACTGCTTACCTGAAGCCCCTCCTAGGGTCCTCCTCCTCCACTGACCTGGTGCTCTCTGCGGTCTATGTTGTGCTGCCCCCGACCCTCAACCCCATCATCTACAGCCTGAGGAACAAGGCCATGAAGGCAGGATTGGAGAAGCTGGTCACCGGGAAGCTCCTGACAAAGCAGCACATCCTCCTGTTCCTCCACGGATAGAGCAAATCCCTTTCCATGTTTGTGCATGTCCCAGGCTGCTCTAAGCTGACCTGTTCTTTGTCTCAGGGTTCCTGCAACCTTGGTGCTGATCGTGATTCAACTGGAGTGAAAAACGATGACGGGTTATCACTGAAGGGGGGCGCCTGGTCTGACACACTGCAGTCCAGGAGAACTGCCAGGGGAGCACTGGGGGTCTGCCCCTCTTCCCATCATGCTCTCTTGTCTTCTACTTCTTGGATGAAATCATATATATTGGATTCAGATATTTTCAAGTTAGTTGTTTAAATGTCTTACTCAACTAAGGCTGTGGACTCTCTGGTGTCACTGATTGAAAGCCAAAGAGGAAACGTGCCCTGGGTGACCTCAAAGTCTTCTGGTGGATGGGCAGGAGGTCTGACCTCTTCCCGCTGCAGAACCCTCTTCATGGGTTGCACTATGTCCTTGCCTGGCAGCAACTCTTTCCTGAGTCATTTCTAGAACCTTTAGATGCAAAACCTCACCAAATGAATAAAATACTCCTCAGCTGAAGAGCATATCCTTAAATACCATGGAGCATAGAGTAGGGGGTAGCTGTGACTGGGAGACCTGTTCTTCACACAGAGACAGCTTTCCCACCACTACAGGGGTGTTTAGCACAGACCATTCCCCCTGGTCACAGCAGTACAAGATTTTGTGTTGTGAAAAATGTGAAAAATGTTTTAATAAAAATGTTTTGTGCAAAAATAATGGCTATATTAAAACAATTCACTTTTCTTAACATTTGAAAATACATTTACTTCTTTATCCCATTGACTACTACATGAAACTCCCTGGAATGAAACTGTTAAATATGTGGCTTATTAGTATCTTGTTTTTATCACTGATCTTTCATATCTGTCCATTATACCTCCAGGGAATAATGGGTACTGCTAACCAAGCTCAGTAGCTCAGTGATTTCCCAGATTCTACATGGAGAGAGAGAGAGAGAGAGAGAGAGAGAGAGAGAGAGAGAGAAATTTTTCTGTTCTTTATAATTTTCTGCCTCATGACTTTAGAAAAATTACAATATACAGCAATAGACAACTTCATGAAAAGATGCCTTAATTAGAGATCATGGAAGAACAAGGGAAGATTGAAGAATGCCTCTTACTGTCGTTTATTATCTTCAGAGATCATATTATCTCTCTACTTTTATTATCTTAGCCTCAAATGATTTTTAAATACAATTACCGTATGCTGCAGCAGAGCCCCACTGAGGACACAGGCAAACGCAATGGCGTCAGTGTGAGGAATGAGTCAGCGGGCCATGGGACTGCAGTCCATCAGAGCATGCTAGAAATGGATGCCAGAGTGTCCACCAAACCCCTGAGTAATGGGTCAGGCCAGGAGGTGCAGCCCATGATCCAAACAACCTGGGAGGCCGAGGCAGGAGGATAGAAATTTCAAGCCAACCTGGGAGACTTAAGAAGACCTTGCCTCAGATGAAAAATAAAAATGTGGGAATGGAGATATAGCTCAGTTTTAGAGCATATCTAGGTTCCATTCTGAGTACAAAAAAAATGATGAAAGGATAAAAGAAGTGGTACATTTTAAAACAGAACGCAATTCAGCCATAAAATGATGTAATGCTGGGGCTGGGGCTGGGGCTCAGTGGCAGAGTGCTTGCCTGGCATGTTTTAGGCACTGGGTTTGGTCTCAGCTCCACATACAAATAAATAAAGAAATAAAATAAAGGCCTGTTGATAACTAAAATAAATTAATTAATTTTTAAAAAGATGTAATGCTGTCATTGTGGCCCCTTGAGTATAGCTGGAGATCTCAGTACTATGTCTAATTTTACCTTTTTACATATCAACTAAAAATAAATTAATTCAACTTTACAAAATAGCATACAATTGTTTACTCTGGCTTGGGGCAGTGCTGTCTGCTATCTTTTAACCACTATTATCAGTCACTCATATCCCTGGTGCAGAAAGAAAGTTAAATATAGATGGAGAACTTCATCGTCTTTAGATCTGTAGTAGGTCAGTGCAGGCGTGGCTTGGCCCTTACTGGACTCATTTCAGGCTTCACATTGCACCTCGGGTGTTGGTTCATCATCATATGTACAGATGCTCATGCTCATCGTGGAATCATATTCAATGCAGCTGAATACAGCGTGAGTTAACACAAACTAGCATCTCTCCGTGTCCGTCTTCAGCACTCGATGCTTTGCTCACTCCATGTCACATGGAAGCCAACGAGGACCAGAGTGTCTGTTCTCTTTTCCTCCTGCTGCCTCCTCACTTTGTTTCTCTGGAGATGCCACAGGTTGCTCTAAGCCTCGGTGCTCAGGTCAGTTCTGATTCACTGTAGCCTCGGTCCCAGGGTTTGCAGGGCTGGCACCTTCCTGTCTCCATGCACCGTATCCCTATGATCCCTGTCCCTATGATCCCTGTTCCTGGGCACCTGGTCACTCACCAAGGGGCAGCACGGACCCCAGGTTATTCAGTCAGCACATCTTACCGGTGTTGTGCATAGGGGTGAGCTAGTGATCTATAAAGTCTGAAAACCCTTTTAACCCAGAAAGGTTTTCCAGATGAAACTTACTTGAGGTCATAGTTTAGTCTTTCAATATGGAAATCCTATCAAAATCCTATCATTACTTTGAGACATACATTTATTGCATTTTGGAAGCCAACAATAAATATGCACAGTCGTGAAATTCCCTACAAAGACACACAGTGTACATATAAAATGTATCAAATGACAATGCATTTTATAGCAAATAAGAGAAACTAAGTAATTTAGGGAATTAAGTGGAAATTAATATATTTACGTTACATCATGTGTCCAATATGTTTATTCATGACATAGCATCACACTTTAAATTTGTGTTACACTTCTTTGATAACATAGAACATGTGGATCATAAGTACAGCATCCTGTTTAAGTTTAGGATGACAAATTTAATATAAAGCATCTACTTCAATATTTTACAAGGAGAAAACTGTGAGTTACATACAAAATAAACTTTTGATCAATTTAGACTTCAGAAATTTTAAAGAATATAATGAAAGAACTAAAGTTGAGCTTTAGCCTGCTCCCCACTAAAGTTGAGGAAAATATGCTTCCTCCTTACTAACCATTTCCTCCACAGTGTGAGCTGCAAGTGGGCACCCATTGACACCACCAGTGTGACCCATCCTGGCCAGTAGCTGGCCTCATGCTGTGTGGTCCAAGACATCTCTTCCTATCTCCTGTTTCTAAATATCTGAAAAATTTCTGCCAAATAACCTATAATAAATTGCATTTATAATACTAATTCCTTCTCAAAAAATTCATTCCTGACACCTATGTGAAACTTTGAATTTGCTTGCAGCTAAATACTGATTTTGATGTAGACTATAATGTTCATGTGAAGTTCATTCATGAACTGTTAGATACAATAATAAAATCTTGATTTTTTTATTTTTTGATGTTTAATATCAACATTAAAAAATAAAAAAAAATTATTTTTTTTAATTTTTATTTTTTCCATATTAAAAATTTCTCTCGTAAGTGGCTGGAATTTTATTTTACTTTTCGGAAATCTTTTTTTAATATTAATGTGTGCTATAATTTCCCTACTTACACAATGCCTAGGATGTAAAGATTGCAGCAAATATGTTAATCATATAAATGACGATGGGCATGTGTATCCTGAATTCACATGATTTAGAATTTGTTTACCTAGAAAATTTGAAGAAAAGCAAAAGACCTATCCCTGAATATTCTCAAACCTGCATCAACCAAGGCCCTTGTAATCTACTGACAGGAGTGAGGAGCTGCCCCTTCCCACGGGAAAGCGCACACCCTGACAGTCAACACAAGGGGGCGCAAGCACTTGGCACTGGCCTAGACTTTATGTCTAAATCTCCACTAAGCAAGTTTCTAAGCAGTGACTTGAGACTGCACAGGTTATTTGATTGTATAAGTGTCACCACTTATTTTTGGCCTCTCATTTTACCCACAGGATCAAGTGATAAGCTCATACCCCATGTTTAGAAACAAGCAAGCACAGTGTCTCTGAAAAGCTGTATCAATAATGCATGTGCCAGGAAGGAGCCCTCAGCAAATGCTGTTGATCACCCCTCAACTGTCATTGACTGGGAACCTACTGCTGTGCAGACACTGCAGATGAAGCCACCATCACACTGAATAGATTTATGCAGATTCTACTCTGGGTGCTCTGTGATTTTAACTAATGTCTTCCCATATAATCTTCCTGAGCAGAAAATAAAAACTAAAGAAAAATAGGAACCCCCTGGAGCACTCCTGTGAGTGCTCACTTCCCAGCGAGCAGGGGAAGGTGAGGCCCTGTGCTGGGTGCCCACACCCCTACAGGGGGTGGCGCCCTCTACAGGACTGGTCTTCAGCAGACTGGCTTCCTGTGCACCAGTGATCAGGGCTCTATTTTCACATATGGCCCAATCATTAACTATATATTCCACTTGACACTTATGTTTATATTTTCAAACAGTGAAATAAATATATTATAAATATGAAAAAAATCAAACATCTCAGATGCAGCAATTTGTACACTTAATGAACATTCAATTATATTAAATATCACCTTTGCTAAAATACATGAAGATTAAAGGACTAATGAAAGTGAATGAAAAAACATGTGTAACCAAAGAGTAGAGATAAAAATTCATAGAAGAAAATTACAAAAATATTCAGGCAAAGACATTTTTTAAACTATATTTTTATTGGAAAAAAATCCATCTGGTGCAAAAACAAATGAAAACAGGAGAAACAGCAACTGAAGATAATGACTGACAGCCAGAAGTATCCCATGTCCTAAGTCCATGGCTCCAGTCCAGCGGTTATAGAGCTTCATCAAATGCTTTTCCTTCAAAATACAGGCACTAGATGTGTTTTTGCACATGACAGTAAATTGGAAAGGTTTCTTCAAACATTAAATGTGACTATAGAATCCTGATATCCCAATGAGACCAGATGATACCCAATATATAAAAGTATATAGGGAAGAAACT